ATCTAGTTAAGATTTGGATATGTTCTTAGGAAGATCATTGAAGATTGGGATATGTTCTTAGGAAGATCATTAAGATCATTAAAGTTTATGATATGTTTTTAGGAAGACCATTAAGATCATTAAAGATTGGAATATGTTCTTAGGAAGATCATTAAGATCATTAAAGTTTGGGATATGTTCTTAGGAAGATCATTAAGATCTTTAAAGATTATGATATGTTCTTAGAAAGATCATTAAGATCAATAATGATTGGGATATGTTCTTAGGAAGATCATTAAGATCATTAATGATTGGGATATGTTCTTAGGAAGATCATTAAGATCTTTAAAGATTATGATATGTTCTTAGAAAGATCATTAAGATAATTAATGATTTTGATATGTTCTTAGGAAGATCATTAAGATCATTAATGATTGGGATATGTTCTTAGGAAGATCATTAAGATCATTAATGATTGGGATTTGTCCTTAGGAAGATCATTAAGATAAAACCGAAAGAAGTTGCACAGAGGCGATAACCCCAAAGAATGGTTGCATTGCTTTTATTACTTATTTAACCCAACTCTTCTTTTTTTTCTTATCTCGAAACCGATGTTATGGCATTTTTCGTACAACCAGTTTTTAAAGGAGGCCTTGGATCTAGCTCTGACGAACAAGTAAACAAATGTGCTCTCTTTAAGTTTATAAACTTCACCAACAAACGTTTACTTCCATCGCAAAAAAACTCTATCTCTCTTTCTCTTTGATGTCTACATTCCTCTCATCACCCCCCAGCTAGACGCTTTCATTAATATTCACTTGATCATGTCAGTCAAAATAAACTACAATCGGGGCGTCGGCATCCGAATTCCTATGCAATAAAGCCCGTGATGCTGATTTCAAATCTTATTCAGGAAGGAGGAAAGAAAACGTGAATTTCAAAATATGTAATTCGTCTTGGGTGGGTAGCAGGGAGTTGGAAATTATTTTCCTTTCTGACCCCCAAAGCTGAAAGGAATCAGGAAGAAGAAGCGAAGAGGAGAAGAAAAATAGCGAAAAGCAAATAGAAGAACGAAGAATTTGCCTGACTTTCCTGGTTCTTTTTGCATTTTTCTCTTCAAATAGAAAAAAATAATGACTAATAGCAGAAACATCTTTGTCGGTGAAAAAGGCTTTAAAACACGCACACATACTTATCAGTGAATATGAAAAATCTTTTGACTACGGAAAATATGAGAAATTTAAGCTGCTTGGTCGTGTATCGTCTGCTTTTTAGAAAGAAAGCAGACGCTGCATTGGGCTCTTGCGTAAATTTCGAATTTCGAAAATATATTTGGTACTTTTCAATTTGTGGGAAAACATCTGCGCTTCGTTTTTCACTCAAACTCAATAAAATGGTTTCCCTCCAAATTCCGAGAAGTGAATTTGGGGCCTACCTGTAGGTTATAAAAGGAGGGCATTAGAGTTCATTTTCGGAGTCGACGAATATCTACTGTTGGAAGTCAGTTCACCCCGGTCCAAAAAGAAAAGCAGCACAGAAGAAATTTGACAACCATCAGACGAGAATTGTAAGGAACATCAAAGCCACTCCCACATCAAGGAAAAGTTTTAGGCTGGTATGATTGTTCTATTGCTTCGAAAATTGTACTAATCCATTGAAAAAACAAAAGTATTTTCTCCTTTCCTTCATTTTATATATAGCTTAGTTTTTCTGGGGATTTTATGCAGTATTATAATTTTAAATGTAAAAAGGCATATTTCATTTTCATTGATAATTTACATACTTGTTATGGCCATCATTTGGCACACGATGCACTTGCTTTGTGTAATTCATTTATTTTTGTGTGTTAGCAATAAATTTATCGTCTGTTTTTAAACTCGTCTCGTGTCGTTTGTCTTTGTCGTGTGCCCATAAAAATTAAACGCTACCTCAAACATTTGTTTGAACTATTTCTTTCGTAGTTTTTTTTTTATCAAATAAAAGATCCTATAAAAGTGATCGTTATTGCTTAACGCGGAAAAGCCGAGGAAATGATGACCAGCGGAAGACAATACGCCATTTCGGCCTACGTCATATTTACATTTACCCCGATCCTTGAGAGTAAATCTCAGTCCAGCGATTGTCGTTACAATATTTATTCTTGCTATATATATATATATAAAATGCGGCAAAAGACCAAAAGGGAGTGGGCGGGAAGGGCTGGTTTTCAATCTATCTTTAACCGAGCTAGCCACAATCACTGACCCAGACAAACTACAAAATAACTTGCACCAAAACAACACATTCTGATTTATCATTCGTAATACAAACATCATTCCTCAGAGATTCTATGAAGTCTCAACTTGTCCCCATATGTGCAATTTGTCTGAAAGGGCTAGATAAAAAACAATAACTTTTAAAAATCTATATCTCAGTGTGTATTTACAATGTATGATATCTATATACAAGGAACAGAGCAAAATTATGTTAGTAATAAAGCCCCCATAATCCTACTTTGTGGCAGAAACATCAGTTAACTTGTCGAAATTAACACCTTCCCTGCCAATTATTTTAGGAAAAACGTTTCATTTTCAGACGATTTTTTTTATTTGTTTTTAATATAGCAACTAAAAAACTGAGGTACCTTGAAGTACCCGAGCGGTGGCTAACACTTCTACTAAACGTAGGAGTTGACAACTGGACTCGTTTCAAGCTCAGGACATAAAAAGAATCAAAATCAATGCTTTTTTTAAATTTTTTTTAATGTTTTAATGTTTTGGACGTGTTTATTCGCTTTATTGCCTGAAAAGACACTTTCGGTAAAAAAAAAACAAAAAAACGTATATACACGTCTACGCCGGGGAAAGGGTCAATCCGGGATTAAATTAATTGAAAAAAAAAAATCAATCTACCAAACACTCAATCAAGGCATAAACTCATCCAAACGCAACAACAAATAGGAAATCATACACGAAATTCGAAAGGCGTTCCGCATCCACCAGTGAACCTCTCTCTCTCTCACCTTAGGAGGGGGAGGGATATTAAACTAAAGAAAGAACGGGCAGAATTGAACACTCTTCCGCCATGTTTTTACTTAAGCTCACTAAGTATGCGTTGTTTTCCTCTGCCCCTCTTGCCTTCAGTCTGTCTTGTGAGTTTCAGATTTTCCAAGCCCTCTTTCCTCATTATCTGCGCAAGAAATTTCAACTTCCAAGCTTCCGTTTTGTTTTTATTTTCTCCAAAACTTCGTCGTTGTTTCTCATATTTGGACCATGTTATACTCAGCATCTTTCTGTAGAAAAAACATTTCTGTTGCTTCAAGTCTCTTTTTCATATTTGAGGAGATTGTCCAGCATTCACTGCCGTATAGAAGGATAGATATCACGTAACTTTTCAGTGCTCTTTGTATCTCAAAAAATATTCTTACAATCTAAAAATATTTTCTGGCTTTATATACCATCCAAAGGGTTGATAAACCGTAAAAAACGCATCAATCGATCACTGATTAGCCATACAGATATGTCTTTAGGTTTATTTACATCCTCTGGAATATACAGCAAGTATCTTGGCGACAAAGTGAAGGATCAATTTATATATTTTTTGTAATATGGAATTGATCCCCAATTTATATATTTCTTCTTTGTTTATAAAATTCAGATTAGGTATGAATCCACTTCTTCACCCCCCAGATATGGGTTAATTAGTAACACTCGTATCACTAAATCATTATTACATAAAAAAAAAAAAGTTCTTACAAATTAAAAATATTTTCTGTCTTTAAAATACCGGCAAAGGGTTGATAACCCGTAAGAAACGAATCAATCAATGAAATACTGGTTAATTACAGGCACATTTTTCAGATTTATTGACATTCTCTGGGATATAAATGTATAGAAAATACAGTGGTCATAAACTGAGGGAACATTTTATATATCGATTGTAATATAGAATTGATCCCCCACTTTGTGCCCACCATTTATTCTGTGTTTATCAAATTTAGATTTGAATCCACCTCTTATCCCACCAGCTATGGGTTAATTAGTAACACTTGTATCATTAAATCATTATTATATAAAAAAAAAATTCCTTACAATCTAAAAATATTCTCTGGCTTTAAATAGCCTGCAAAGGGTTGATAAGCCGTAGAAAACGAACCAATCGATGAAATAGTGATTAGCCATGTTTTTCAGATTTATTTACATTCTCTGGGATATAAATGTATTGAAACTAAAGTGGTCATAAACTGAAGGATCATTTTATATGTTGATTGTAATATAGAATAGTCCCCCACTTTATACTCACAATTTATTCTGTGTTTATCAAATTTAGGCTTGAATTCACTTCATCTCCCTCCAGCTATGGGTTAATTAGTAACACCTGTATCACTAAACTATTATTATATAATAAAAAAGGGGAAATAATCTCAAATATCTCCTGGCTTTAAATAACCTGCAAAGGGTCGAATCAGTCAATTGATGATTATAACGAGAATTTTGAAGAAAGATTCGTTTGACAAAAAACTGGAATCTTTCGGTACCCGTTCCTGTTCAAGCTCCCTTTTAGAAAAGGTCTGGTCATTATGCTCTGATGGATAGCCTTGTTGTTTCGACATTATATCTGGTTATTATGATTGCTCTGTAGCTGCAATTGTTGGACAGATTTTACACTCACTTCTAGATTTTTCCTATCCGGCCTTCGTTCTGTGTTGTTAACCGTTCATATAGCTGTTGGCTGCACTTTTCCCAATCCACTCATCGCAAATCATGGCCGTTCTACAACCCGATGAATAACTGCCAGCATTCGTCTGTCATTATTTCAGGCCCCCATATCTCCGGTGCAAGGCAGTGCACGTTTCGCCGTGAGGCTCCACTTTTGCAAAGTGTAAATTACGCTCGCTTACCTTCGTTACAAGAAGTTTACTCCCATTTTCCGAACACCGTAGGGTTTAGCGCTTACTTGAAGTATATCTGTTGAGCTGTGTCATTGTGCTTATCACTGTGTGCATCAATATAAATTATGTGTGAGTTTGTTGATCTGAGCTTCTATGTTTGTCGCTTTGTGTACATATGTATGTATACTATTGCAATCAAAACACTGTATGTTTGTGCTGAGAGTTTCAAAGTAATATAATTTGGTCGTTCATCAAAGCAAGCGGTCGCTGATAGATAGATAGATAGATAGATAGATAGATAGATAGATAGATAGATAGATAGATAGATAGATATTTTGAACAAATTCAGATAGATATGAATAGGCAGAGATAGATAGATAGATAGATTTAGATTTGAACTGAGATAGATTTGAACAAATTCAGATAGATATGAATAGACAGAGATAGATAGATAGATAGATAGATAGATAGATAGATAGATAGATAGATAGATATTTTGAACAAATTCAGATAGATATGAATAGGCAGAGATAGATAGATAGATAGATTTAGATTTGAACTGAGAAAGATTTGAACAAATTCAGATAGATATGAATAGATAGATAGATAGATAAGGAACTGAATTATAGATAGATAGATAGATAGATAGATAGATAGATAGATAGATAGATAGATAGATTTGAACTGAGATAGATTTGAACAAATTCAGCTAGATATGAATAGAGATAGATAGATACATAGATTAACAAATTTAGATAGATTTGAACTGAGATAGGTATGAATAGATAGATAGATAGATAGATAGATATTAACAAATTTAGATAGATAATTAACAAATTTAAATAAATTTGAACTTTGATAGATCTGAACAAACTGAGATAGATAGATAGATAGATAGATAGATAGATAGATAATTAACAAATTTTGTTAAATTTCAACTAAGCTAGAGAGATCTGAATAAACCGAGATAGATAGATAGATAGATAGATAGATAGATAGATAGATAGATAGATAGATAGATAGATATGAACAAATTTAGATAGATAGATAGATAGATAGATATGAACAAATTTAGATAGATAGATAGATAGATAGATAGATAGATAGATATGAACAAATTTAGATAGATAGATAGATAGATAGATAGATATGAACAAATTTAGATAGATAGATAGATAGATAAGGAACTGAATTATAGATAGATAGATAGATAGATAGATAGATAGATAGATAGATAGATAGATTTGAACTGAGATAGATTTGAACAAATTCAGCTATATATGAATAGAGATAGATAGATACATAGTTAGATTCACAAATTTAGATTGATTTGAACTGAGATAGGTATGAATACATAGATAGATAGATAGATAGATAGATAGATAGATAGATAGATAATTAACAAATTTTGTTAGATTTGAACTGAGCTAGAGAGATCTGAATAAACCGAGATAGATAGATAGATAGATAGATAGATAGATAGATAGATAGATAGATATGAACAAATTTAGATAGATAGATAGATAGATAGATAGATAGATAGATAAGGAACTGAATTATAGATAGATAGATAGATAGATAGTTAGATAGATAGATAAGGAACTGAATTATAGATAGATAGATAGATAGATAGATATGGTCTGATATTGAAATATTCTGGGGCCGATCATGAAACCTATCCTCCAAAAAGTCTGAAATGTGATCATTTAAATCAGGTTTTACGACGTTGGTGAAGCGGCCAACTCCTCAGCACCCTCTTTTAGTCTATTTTCCTGAAGACGCTGATAAATAAATATTTACTCTCAATAAGGCCGAAATCGGATCCATCAGAACCCACACAATTCTAGGTTAGTATTACCCTGTAAAATTGTTTCACCTTCATCATTTCACAAATTCCTACTTCCATATAACCTTTATGAAACTAAAAGCAAACTATTAACTATAAAGCAAATATTCTCTTATACTTACCAAATATATGTCGTTTATTCTACTAATTTTCAAATGCTGCTTTCTATGGTCAAATCCTGCATTGAAATGCTAGCCGTACGTATTCCGACAAGTACCTGCTTTCTCCTTCATGTTTCCTGTGATCCAGAGGTGGCCGACTGAAAATGTGCATAGTCATGTCAGCCTCAACGTGGCCTTTTAGTTCTGCTTTAAATCCCGTGGGTCAATGGGTCATCGAGGAGACCAACTACCATTCCCACAAATCCAAGGATGAAGTTCACCATCGTTGTATTGACAAGTGAGATCCTCTAGACGGTGACATTGACGCCCATGGAAGAAGCAGAGTACTATGACATGACTCATGTCTGCCAGGACAACGTGAACAGCGTGCGCGTCAGGATGGGTGGGCTCATTCTTACTGCTCACCAGGCCATTTTCAAGAAGCTCCTGGGGGTTATGGTGGCTTGTTAGTACCATATTAATGCTCTCGATATGTTTGAAAGAGAAACATGATATAATTTAATATAATGTAATAATATAATATATAATATATATATATTTAAAATTTGTGTATTTAGACAGCAATTCTTCTTTCAAGCGCTCGGTAAAAAAGAACATTCGGACAGTTTTTTTATAATTTATCATCTGAAAAGAAAAATTATTAGATCGTATGTGAAATTGCATAAAAAGATTAATAAAAGCACCCTGTCTGTCGTATTCAATTAAATATATAATATAACATAATCTAATATAGCGTATGCCGTGTAGAATTGCATCAAGTCGTCTTCTATTTATATCCCCCTAAAGAGGTATTTTCAAATATGTCAAAAGTGGTATGCAGTTTGTTACAGATATATTATTTGATGATGCTCCACATAAAACCTGTTGAGTTTGATAGAGACCAAACCGAGTTATTACGTAAAAAAATAATCAACTTGACAAAAAAGAGAACGAGCAGAAGTACAAATTCAAAATCAAGCACGGAAAATTATGCTGGTTGCTTTGATAACTTTTGACTTCCAAATAAGTTTTAAAAAGGACACCCCGTTGGACTGTATTTGAATGTTCTGTTATTGAAAATTACGACAAGTGTTGAAATGTAGATGACAACATCGAATGCGAATGACATGAACCACTGCTAATCGTATTTAGGGCCGGTCTTCAAACCAAGTGTCAGTCCTCATACCAATGGCTGGTCATCATACCAAGTGTCAGTCCTCATACCAATGGCTGGTCATCATACCAAGGGTCAGTCCTCATACCAATGGCTGGTCATCATACCAAGTGTCAGTCCTCATACCAATGGCTGGTCATCATACCAAGTGTCAGTCCTCATACCAATGGCTGGTCATCATACCAAGGGTCAGTCCTCATACCAATGGCTGGTCATCATACCAAGTGTCAGTCCTCATACCAATGGCTGGTCATCATAACAAAGTTCAGTCCCCATACCAATGGCTGGTCATCATACCAAGTGTCAGTCCTCATACCAATGGCTGGTCATCATACCAAGTGTCAGTCCTCATACCAATGGCTGGTCATCATACCAAGTGTCAGTCCTCATACCAATGGCTGGTCATCATACCAAAGTCCAGTCCTCATACCAATGGCTGGTCATCATACCAAGGGTCAGTCCTCATACCAGTGGCTGGTCATCATACCAAGTATCAGTCCTCATACCAATGACCATCTTCATACGAAAAAGTCGGGTCTGTGTCCGAATGATGGCTGAAAGTTTCCCCGGCTGACTATGAAGGAATGGCTTTCGAGCTGTGAAATCTTGCATGTATTAATTTCAATTCTTTTTTTTTTATTAATAACTCCATTGTTCTTTCCAAGAGACTGTTCAAAGTAGACTTGAAATGTAACTAGTACCTAATTCTCTTAAAAATGGACGAAATTTGGCATCGTTGTGTTATCAAGTACCCTGCGGGAAAAAGTTTTAGCCCCCGATGACATTCATACTGACATGGTTGCTACATTAGGGGGAACAGCCGAATTTAAGAGGGGAAGGGATAGTCTTGAAGATAACCCAAGGTCTGGACGTCTTGCAACTGCCACCACAGGGAAAAACATTAATCGTGTTCACTACTTGGTGATGGATGACAGGCGATTGGTTATAAATCAAAGAGTCAATGTTATTGATATACCCCGTGAGAAAGTTGAGAGTATTCTGCACAATGAACTTGGCATGACGAAGGTTTTTGCTCGGTGGGAGCCACGTCTTCTTACTCCTGATCAAAAGCCTACAGGCTGATCCTGCTAATTTCCTTAAAGGAACCAAGATGGGTGTTGGGTTCATCACTTTAAGCCAGAGACAGAGAGACAAACTATGCAGTGGAAACACCCCTCCTCACCTGCTTCAAAGAAATCCATGGTCATGGAAGATGAAAACCGTAGTTTTGGGAGATGAAGAAGGCACTGTGTGTGCCTTCAAAAGGGCCACACCATCACTGGTGAGTACTATGCCAACTTGCCGATGCTATTCCGAACAAATACCTATGAAAACGGACGAAAGTGGATTTGTTCCAACACAAGAGACCTTGCTTTCAATGGCTGCTATGAGTGACTGTGACTTTGAACTGGTTGACCACCTTCCCTATTATTCTGATTTGACTATCATCTGTTCCCCAACATGAAAAGATACTTGACTGGGAACCAGTATGGTAGTGATGATGAAATCATCTCTGCTCGTGATGACTTTTTGAGCAACAGGATAAAAGTCTTCTTTGAACAGTAAGATGTGAGTTTAAATGGAAACAAATAATTAATAAGAAGAGTTAAAATGAACGTATGCAAGATTTCACAGATCTAGCATCACTACCTCATAGCCAGCATTGTAGACGCATTTGCACAAAGAAATCTTAAGAAGAATTCAACATCCTTCCTATTTACAAGGTCACGAAGAAACAATATCATGCAATTACGTTTCTAGGGTATGACATATAGGTCATATGCCATGGGCGTCGTTTCGCTGTAATTTTCTTCGGTCACAAATATTTTTTCACCAGTGTTTGATTTTCGGAACTTAGCCATGGATTCCAAATAAAAATAGAATCTATAAAATCCAGAATCTATCACATGTTTGTGCTATGCATTGTTGGATTAATCTGAAACAGCTTGCTTTAAAAAAGAAATTTTTCTCTTTTTTTAATTTATGGTAACTACCGATCTGCTTGTTTAAGAAAATTAAATATATTGGTGCGTAAATATCTATATTAAACAACTCTTAAAAAATGGTAACTTCAAAAAATTATTAGAGGAACGCAATTATCCAGGGACGCATTTGTCTAGGGACGCAAATGTGCAGAGACTCAACTATACGTCCACCTAAAAATCTGCCTAGATGTTTGGCTGCAATTGTTGAAAACGGAGAGGATTACATTTTTAACAAATAATATTTAAATAAATTTAACTTACTTTTGTTTTGATATATTTTCTGTGATAACGGAATTACTTTCGAAACAACCTAATATTTTGTGGAACAAACGTTCGGTCGGATGTCTTCCCAATCACTTGAAACTTGACCTTTTCAAGCCTAGGGTTAATCTGTGTGTTTCTTGTCCAACCCCATGTAGCTCACTATTTGAGCCTTATATACGGTGAACATTACTTAAAAAATATATGAGAGAGAGAGAGAGAGAGAGAGAGAGAGAGAGAGAGAAAGAGAGAGAAAGAAAGAAAGAAAGAGAGGCGGGGTGGAAGGAAGATAGCTATCTGTCGTATCGTCTACATCTCTAGAATTGAGTACGCATGCGTTGATGAAATAAATCGTTTTTTACGGCTTCAACCATAACATTGTTTTTTTCATTTACTGCTTTTCAGAGATCTGTCAGTATTTATGCAGTTAAACATTTGTATTTTCATCTTAATTCTCGTTCTGTATGGCTTTAGGTTCATAGAAAGGACGAATATTTTCTATGAAAATTTCTCGGACATTCAGGCCGGTAAATGTTATTTAATACTGTTTATTATAAACGGAGCATTTACTTAAATACTTGTATCTATAAAAAGAACGTTAAACATAAAAATGTCTTTTAATAAATAAATTGTCAGACTTTTGTCCATTTCTTAATATATATATATATATATATATATATATATATATATATATATATATATATATATATATATATATATATATACTCGACTCTCCAGTCGAATTCGACGTATGAGGGTCAAGCAGATCAGTTCGTAGGAAACCGACAGCCCGACAACAGCACATGAGATTTGATTATAGTGGTGAAGGTTTCGTGCAGGACCATCCACATTTTTTGGAGGGCCGAAAACAGAGATCTGGTGCACTACGTGCCACAGGGTCCCCAAACGAATTTGAATTCAGAGTTGTCCTTCTCCTAGACCAGTTGCCATCCAACACTATAGACAACAGTCTATCCTGCTATTTACCCATAGCTGGAGGGAGAAGAAGAGGATTCACACCTTTCCCAACGGTATTAGCACGGATGTGAATGTAATGGATTTGACTGGAATTCGAACTCGACTATCCGATTCCTCAATCCAAGCCGCTATCCATTACTCCACAAATGTAATGAGAGCGAAAAGAATATATATATTCAAACGATCATAGCATTAATTTAAAAGAGGGCTCAATACCAAAAGTAGAGCAATAGTTATTTATTATAAGTTGTTACATTTGGACAATCAAGTAATTACTACAAAGATGCATACTTGTTTCGATGGTAAACATCTTTCTTCCTCACCTGATGAGATGCTTACCTTTTAGTATCGAAACAAGTAAGACTCTTCGCAGTGATTACTTGTTTGTCCGAATGTAACAACTTATAATATATATATATATATATATATATATATATATATATATATATATATATATATATGTGTGTGTGTGTGTGTGTGTGTGTGTGTGTGAAGAAATATAGTCTTAAGATGTGCTATATTTATGGGATAAAGTGCTCAATATCTGAGATAGAGCGTGTGTAAATATAAAAAGTGAACATATAAGTCAAAACTTACAGGCGACAATCTGTTTCATGTTAGATGCAATCGTCAGGCCTGACGATTGCATATAGCATTAAACAGACTGTCGCCTCTAAGTGTTGACTTCTATGTTCACTTTTATATATATATATATATATATATATATATATATATATATATATATATATATATATATATATATGAGTCGTTCGAATGGGAGAGAAGTGTGTATATTAAAGAAGAGAGAAACCGCAAGCGTTTTTGTTTGTAATGTGGATTTTTTTTTAAAATATTATGCTTTATTTTCCATAATTTTGCTACACGTGTTTCTGATCTCGCAACCGTCATCAGGCAAAGAGTGGAGATTTTCACATATTACTAAAAATAAAGAAATAAAGAATAAAGAAACCTCAACAGAATGCAGAAAGCACTGGACGACCATTTCGTTCTATATTTGGGACTCATCAGCAGTGCGCATCCACTACCGAGAATAGAAACCCACTACATTGACAGGCAAACGTCCTACCAACTGTACTAACCGGCCTCGGTGACGAAGAGGTAGAGAACTAGACTCGATATTGCGCCGCTCGTTCACAAATTCTGTGGTGGAACTCATCCAAGTTTCTTTACCCATAGGACTGTGCCTCCGAGAGCCACGACTACCATCACCAAGCAGTTCCATCCAGAGCATTAGAAGCCGGTTCAAGCAAAGATATACAAATGATAGAAATTAAGGAGGATTTGAGATAATTACGTAATTCATCGAGTCTAGAAGCAAATATATATATATATATATATATATATATATATATATATATATATATATATATATATATATATATACGGTAGAAACCCCTGACAACCGGACTAAGAAGGCCTTCCGGATATGATGAATTGCTTACAAAGTCCGGATATGAGGGGTTATATTTAGCTTAAAATAAAAGAACTGAAATCAGGTTTAACATTTATTTTCAATGTTTTATAATAAACAAACTAAGCTAATGTTGAGTGAATTAAAACGGAATTGATTTTAAGGAAAAAGAAATAAATTATGTCATGTTAATGAAAATTCATTAAGTTAAGCATGCCACGTATGAAAAACAAATAAAGTAACGAGGATTTTTTTAATTCGTTAGTATTCTGCAACAGGGATTGACTAGCCGCACTAGTAGACGAGTATCCTCCAATACGAGTGGCCAACTATTATATATATATATATATATATATATATATATGTATGTATGTATGTATGTATGTATGCATCATGTGAAGTTCTACGTATTATCTCAATTGTTTGAGGATCTTTGAAAACAAAGTGAAATTGATTTAATTTTTTAAACATCTTCATATCATGTGAATGTGAATTTTAGCTAACATACGAGAAGTGTGAGAAAAAACTATTAACATATGACGGTTACAACAAGCAATTTCAACAGTAAAATTCTGAGACCTAGCTACCAAATGAGTACTGCGTTTCAATTCGTGAAGTCGAGGTAACAAAGAGAAAAGCTCACCAGAACAATTGCCGTAAAAAAAAAATATCGGGGTATCTACGATAGGGCGTGAGAAAGAGAATGAAGCTGAGATGCCAAGTCAGGACGAATAATATTGCAGATTCTGTGGATTTTGTCAAAATTCTCTAGATATATAGCGGAAACACCAGACCTGATTTGGCAGGAATATTCGATGCGCGGACGAATGGTAAACTAGAATTTGGATAGAAAATTTGTCTTGTACAAAGTGTCTTGTACAAAGTGAACAAACTTAGCAGTTGATTCAATATAACCGTTCCACGTCAAGTCAAAGGAAAATATGAGAGAAAGCAGACGCAGTGAGTTATATTCCTGGAGGTTAGCAGCAGCTATGGTGAAGGAAGGTAAAAAGGATCATAAGATAATTAAAAAGGAGCAATTATGATTTGCATGAATTAAAATTAACAAGCCGTTTCTTGCCCCAGGAAACAATAGATTGCAGGTCATCTTCCAGATCCGCTGCCAATTATTAGGACAGGTGTTCATAGTTGTGTCATCAGAATAAATACTGAGGAACTTGTTTAATGGAATTACGGAATACAAACAACATACATTTTTATTTATAGACCAAATCCTAAAAGATTTTAGCCAGAGAAATATATATTTGACTAAAACCACACCCGAATAATTGTGAATAAATTCTTATAATTTTGACATTAAACCGATGTCATTTTCCCCATGCATCTAAGCTATAATTATAAACTATAATCTAAAATCGAAAAATAAAATATTTAAGTAAAAATATGGAAAAAGAAGATTCTAATTCAAATTGACTCCAGGAGGATTTGAATATGGAGATGTCAAATCTGAAATGATGAGATAAAATAGGTTGGCATAGGGAGTTTATGGAGAAAATGAAATTGATAAATGTTTCTATTTCAGCTCATTCATTCATAACTACTTGTCTATATATCTACATCATTATATATCTTATCTATCCATACGGTATGCCTCGACCAATCTATCTATCTATCTATCTATCTATCTATCTATCTATCTATCTATCTATCACAGGTAACACGTTATCTATCCTAAAACTGTTTCATCTAAATTTCTACCTTTCTACCTTTCTACCTTCCTATCTATCTATCTATCTATCTATCTATCTATCTATCTGTCTGTCTGTCTATCTATCTATCTCAGTCTATTCATATCTATCTCAATTCTTTCACATCTATCTCAGTCAGTTAAAATCTATTTATCAAAATTTGTTTATCTATCTATCTATCTATCTATCTATCTATCTATCTATCGATCTATCAGCGGCCGCTTTGATGAACGACCAAATTATATTACTTTGAAACTGTCTGTCAACATATTTTGCACCCTAAAACTGTTTATGTCTATATCCACCTATTCATCTCTTTCTCTCTATCTATTACTAATATATATATATATATATATATATATATATATATATATATATATATATATATATATATATATATATATATATATATATATAAATTTATCTTATCAGGAAAATTATGAATATATATATATATATATATAATCTATCTCTCCAGGAAAGAAAAAAACTGGAAGCATGAGAAATAGACCAAGCCTGCTTCATACAGAAAAACACCATGAGCATATTTCTATCATTTTCTTCCCATATTTCTTGATTATACACCCCCTCCAGGGACAAGTTGTCGTGGACAGACCACGTTAAGATCCACTTTGGATATCTTCATCGTGGAGGTCCACCGATTGTTAGTGGACAGTAAGAGAGATATGCTTCCCGGCCAATTGTACATTGGTCTCAGGGCAAGTGAGCAATCATAAAGATGTGCGAAGCACAATCAATTTTTCTTAACACAATTGCCCACTGGGTACGCCGATCATCGACATCCTCCTATTCTAGTCAGGTACATATCTTCGTGTATATATATATATATATATATATATATATATATATATATATGTGTGTGTGTGTGTGTGTGTGTGTGTGTGTGTGCGCGCGCGTGTGTGCGTGTGTGTGTGTTTGTACCTATCTCACACTCATTCTTTTCCACTCCATAAGTATATTCACTATTATATATATATATATATATATATATATATATATATATATATATAAATATTTGTTTTGTTAGATTCAATCTATCTATCTATCTATCTATCTATCTATCCATCTATCTATCTATCTACCTAAATGATAGATAGATAGATCTCCGTGTTTTAAAGTTTCTGTTACATTTCCTAACATTAAATATTATTAATATCTACGTTTGCATCTATTGAAATATACCTAGTATGTATTGCATTAATAATACTATTTTTGTTATATCTTTAATATATCT